TTAGAGCTGTTCTCTATAGTATTAAGAAGTGAATAGCCATTAACATTGGACCATCCATAAAAGATGGTTCTGAAGTAAACAATTAGTATATTTATAGGACCAAAAATTTTTAGAACAGCTCCAGGAACACCTAATAGTGGGATTAAAAAAATCTTAACCAGATTACGTTGTTTAGAATGTACTGTAGGAAATTTTGAAACAAAAATGTGCCTCAGAAGTACTTTTCTGTTGGCATTGTCTCACTGGCCATAGCAAATATGCTAACTGAGAAACCCACTTTTTTTGGACCTCCTTCCCAAACACCAACCAGGTCAAGACCCCAGTTCAGTGGATTACATACTATCTACTATCATTCACCACAATGTTCTACTTCATTAATATGCTTCATAGGTGCCATATAGCTTTATTACTTTAAAGGTACAGGGGATGAGGGAAGAAGTCCCATCTGAATAAATGGCAAATAACAATAATAGAACATTTTAAAAGATATCGTTTCATTGGTAGGTCCTTTGTGTAGGAGAAATCTCTTAAAGCTTTATCCCATGCAGACTAGGTTAGTTATTCTTTAAAAGACATTGAAAGTGTCTTTAAGGGAAGTGAGGTGTTCCAGTGGATAGAGCACTGGACCTGGAGTCAGGAGGACCTGAGTTCAAATCCGACCTCAGACACTTGACACTTACTAGCTGTGTGACCGTGGGCAAATCACGTTCCTGACTGCCTCACCCCCCAAAAAGGGGGGAGGTCTTTAAGAACTAATTGATTCAGTAGATTAAGCCTGGGACTGCTGACATAGATCCTCTGTGTGCTACAGAAGGCACAAAGTAAAGAAGGCAAAAAATAAAGAAAGAAAGAAGGCATAAGGAGTCACCAACTCTTCCTTCGTGGTTCTGATTGGCAGATGAATATAGGAAGAGGGAAGCTACACCCAAGTGAACCAATGCTATATCCTTGAAAAAATAGTTTTTCTCTGCTATGATTAAATAAAACTCTTTTTGGTTAACTGTGAGATGTTCTGCAAGTATCTTATTTCATTCCAGTCCTGAACACACACTATCACAGATTTGGTTCAGGCCTGAAACTTTTTGGGTTTGTGGTCTGTGGGACATAGACTTTGAAAACCCAGGGCTAGATCTTTGGCCCATCCATGACCAGAATGAAGATTATTTTAAGCAACCACACTGTCAACATCCTAGAAGACATTGACTTCTTTCTGTAAAGCTTGTCAGTTATTGTGAAGGGCTCTTGGGAAGAAGAAAAAAAAGCTCCAGATTGACAAATATTGGGAAAAGAACTCTCCACTCTTTGTAACATCGATAGGCATGTGCAAAACATGATCAAAGGTATTTCCTTGAGTGATCAGTAAGGGATGCTTGTATATGCTTGCCTATTTCCTCATTAAAATTATTATTCAAGATAATGGCTCATTTATTGAAATCAGAATTTTTTGGGTGAAAAATAGATCCAAAGAGTATTCATGAGACCAGGCATAGTTTGTGCTGTTTCTCAAGCCCCCAAAGATGAGTTAATTCATGAAGGAAATGATATTGAATTTGTATCAAACTCAGCTGCCCTAATTTAGCAGGCCATAACAGTCAAAGAAAAAAAAAGAAGGATATCAGAAAATTTCTGGATGGCATTTATGTTTCTAACAAAGGCACAGTACAAAAAGAATTTTGAAAAAAAAATAAAAGGCACAGTACAACACACTGATAAAGAAGTTGAAAAGGTTGTCAAGATGCCACAAGCAATATCCTGAGGATTTGATACTTCCTCAAGTACTATTAAAAATACTTTTTATGAGGATTAAACAAAAACAAAAAAGAAAATCCAGGGCCAGCCACTTTCTTACCCCAATGAGACCTTGGTGTAGTACTTTATTTACTGCTTTCAAGTTGAGGCAATTTCACAATGCTCTGAGTGGCGCCACTTCCCACATTTCATACCTCCTAGTGAGGAGGTATGCTTCTCATTTCCTCATTAGACTATGAATATCCCTGATGTCGCATATAGGCAGACAAAGAAGTACTTGTGCAATCAGAACACCCCAAAGTGACATTTTTTGTTGTCTTTAGGTTCACTCTAGAGCGAATTTCACAAACTCCATCATTTGTTTCTCCAAGGAGAATGTGAAATTCATCCTTCCACTTAGAGACAACTTTCTTCTTTATTCTGGTTTCATAGATATTGAAAAAGTTCAGATACAGTAAGTCCATTAGTATATCCATTTATCCTAGCTAAGGCTGTTAGGCGGTGCAATAAATAAAGTGCTGGGCATGGAGTCAGAAAGATCTGAGCCCAAATGTGGCCTCAGACACTTACTAGCTATGTGAACTTAGGCAAGCCATTTAACTGCTGTCTGCCTCAATTCCCCCAACTGTAAAATGTGGATCATAATAGCTCCTACCTCTCAGAGTTGTTGTAAGGAATAAATAATAAGTGCTTAGCATAATGCCTAGCACATAGTAGGTGCTTCATAAATGCTTATTTCCTTTCTTCCTTATTTATCAGGATATCATATATCAATACCCAAATTGAAATTTAATAGAGTATCTAAAGACTGTGGGCTGCTTAGCAATCTCTGCCCCAGTGTTCACCACTGACACACCATCACTGCAGAAAGAGATAGCTACCATACTAGGGTAATCACCATTTGTATTAAAAAAAAAAAGTTTTCTTTTGTTTTTCCCAAAGGTTACTATAGTAAAATAATTCATCATCAAATGGTCGGCCTACTGGCGATGAGATTTTCTGTACTTAGATAGGCAGGTCTTTGGAAAGGCTAATCAGAGTGTTGGTAGGACTGTACTAGAAATATTTCCTCCATGGAAAAACCTACCAGACCCTGGATTCTGCTGGCATAGCTCTTAAGAACCCACAGTCACCTCCAAATTAAGAGAGGCTTTGCAATAGATTTGGTGGAGCAAATTTTTAGTTTTAAAAAATTATGCCCATTGTGCCTAATCTATATAAAATATAACTTTGTGAGACTCAGAGGAGATTTTTATTGTGCATTCTTTTCAATTTCTAAACCATATTTCTGACTTGTAGCAGTTATAGCTGTAGCTGTTATAGGTGTCGACTCCCCCATTAGAATATGAGCTCCTGTAAGACAAGGATTAACATTCTCTTCTATTTGTTTCCCCATATTTTGCTCATAGTGACTGCTAAATGAATGTTTTTTTTTCATTTATTTATTCATTCACTCATTCATTCATTCATGGATGCATGCATTCATTTCTATTGTGACAAATGCCAAACTCATCTGAATGAAGAATAAGATTTTTGGACTATCTAAATGTTTTTGTCTCTGTTTCTTTGTATTTGTGGAGCCAGAGGCTTCTGGGTGATTAACTGGATATTTCATTGTTCATTCAAGTGTCTGATATGGTGTAGACAGTACCTGAAGGTAGCTTGTGTTTTGAAACTTCTAGCATCTGCACAAATCTCTACCATGCCAAGAAAAGCATCTTTTATAAGAACTAAGTCATTCATATCCTCACCTTGGCAGTGTTCATTGCAGCCCCATAGCCAGTGGAGAATCCACAGCCAATCAAACACACCTTCTCCAGAGGAGCGGCAGCATTGATTTTAGCCACTGAAGTTTCGTCCACCACTGTGTACTCACTGAAGGTACTGGTGTTCATGAAATGGTAGATGGGCTGCCCTTTGCAGGTGAATCTGGTGGTGCCATCAGACAATACCCCCTTACCGGTAGCACTGTTCAATACACCAAAGGCACCAATAAATGAATGCAACTTAACTATTCATTAGTAATGGGACAATTAAAATGAAATATCTGTAGAAAGGACACTCACTCAGCCTTCGCACAGAAATTGCCATTAGGATTTATGCAGGAGGAGCATTTTCCACACTGTGGCAGGAAGAGGGGAATGACCTTATCTCCTGGAAGAGAAAAGATTACAATGTGAAATATTGCTCAGGAACCATCTTTTACCATATGCCAGGTACCTCATCTTAGGTGATTGGGGAGTGTGGATGTGTGTTTGGGGTGATACAAAAAAGTATGAAACGTAGGCTCTGTCTAGAAGAAACCATAATCTGGGGCAATTCTACTATGTTATGGAAATGCTTACTTTATTTCTTTAAGTTCAGAATAAAATAAATAAGATTTAGGTAAGCAGCTGAACTTGTATTTAATACTCAGGTCCTCTGACTCCTAATCTGATGCTGTGAACCACATGGTCCTAATCATCTCATAGAACAAAGCAAATAAACAAATGCAAATTACCTAAAATGGTATATATGTGTGTGCATGTGTGTATGTATGTATATGTATATATACATATAAATGGGGTGTACATATATATGCATATGAATTAACAAAAATGGCAAAAATTTCTAAATAATGATTTCTAATTACTGATGTGTAGCTTAATCATCTAAGTAATAAAATGTATTCAGATAGATAGATAGATAGATAGATAGATAGATAGATAGATGGATGGATGGATGGATGGATGGATGGATGGATGGATGGATGGATGGATAGATAGATAGATAGATAGATAGATAGATAGATAGATAGATAGATAGATAGATAGATAGATAGAT